TAAAAATACTTCAAATTAGCAAGTTCCTTGATTCAAGTTCTTTTGCCCATACACTTTTTTCGTATAAGCTTTTTCATCATCTCCTGCTATGATAATATCATCAACGCATATTAAAAAAGTTATAACTCCCCCCAGTTTTTGGTGTTTGATGAATAGAGTATGACCTCCCTGAGTCTGTTTAAATCTCATATCTATCATCATCCTTGAATACTTGCCAAACCATACTCTTAGCAATTGCTTGACTCTACACAGAGCTTTATTTAATTTACATACTTATTTGATCCTATTTCTCTGTCAAAATCTGGTTGAATATCCATGTAGATTCTTCTTTTAAATTTCCATATAAAAAAAGACATTTTCTAGATCAAAATTGTTGTAGTTGCCAATCAAAGTGAGCAGCTCAGCTAATAACAACAAGATTTGTCCAATGTTCATCTTGGCTACTGGTGCGAATATTTTCTGATAATCTATCCCATATATTTATGTATAATCCTTTACCACTAGTCTTATTCTATATTTCTCGATTGACCAATTTACATTGTATTTTATTTTAAAACTTATTTGCATTCCATCGGTTTCTTGTCTTTGGGTAAATCTACTATTTTTCATGTTGGTTTTTCTCAAGTGTTAGCATCTTAATATTCATAGCTTTTTTTTTTTTTTTTTCCATTTTTTTACAAAATAATGTCTCATATATTGTGTTAAGAATAAACTCAATATTCAAACTTGTGAAAAAAATTTTATGGGATAGTGAGCACTTATCAAATGACATAAATTGTAAGATAGGATAAATAGATTGTACCTTTACGAAATATAATAGGTATATTATTATTATTAGACTGTATAGGTTTTTTGAGACTCACCTCAGTTCTAGGATTAAGATAAGATTCTTGAGCCAACTTAGCTTAGTACCCGCCATATTCCTCTTTGTATATACCTAAGAAGACCTAGGGTCTGATATGATCTCTTGAGTAGATAATTTTCTAGTGACTTTTGAAGGTTCTCTAGTGGTGAGTTGGGGTGTATGGCAAAGGGTTGTGTGTCAAAAGGTTATGTGGCAAAGGTGATAGGGTAAAGCTTGTTAAAAACTTCGTATTCTTATCTTAAAATATAGGTTCCCCCAAAAATAAAATTAAGTGAAGTAGGATTCTTATTCAACAAATGTAACATCAATAAACACATAGAATTTTCGTATGTGCAAATGGTAACATTTATACCCCATTTAAAATGAGGAGTACCCTCAACAAATATACATTTCAAGACCCAAGGATCAAGTTTTCCTCTTTAATGGGAATTGATATGAACAAACACAATACACCCAAATATCCGAGAGACCAAATGGTTTTTGACACTTATTATTGAAGTGTAGAAGAATTTTGAATCAAGAATGCTGGTGGAAAGACGACTAATAATGCAGATGACAGATGGTTAATATTGTTTTAGAATATTGATTTAGGAAAAGAAAACTCTGGTGGTGACTAAAAAGTGACTATTCTTGTGTTTTGCTACTCCATTTTGTTGTAGAGTGTAGATGCATGATGATTCATAAAGAATTCCTTCTTGATAGAAGAATGGTTGAGGTGTGTCTGTGGCTGGGCTGTGTGCGATTGAGCGACTGCCATGGACTAGGTGCAGCTGGGCTATACACGGTTGGGCTGGGTGAACTGGATCCAGCAATGAAGGCCGGTCTTGGTGGAGATGGCCAGTGCCATGGACTAGGTGCAGCTGGGCTATACACGGTTGGGCTGGGTGAACTGGATCCAGCAATGAAGGCCGGTCTTGGTGGAGATGGCCAGGTAAGATGTTAGCTTGTGCTGGAAATGGCTGGTCTATGGTGGTTGGCAACTAAGGTTGTGATGGCCGACAATGAAGGTTTGGCTCCCTTTAGGGTTTTATTATTTCAGTAATTAAAGCTAAATAGTGTTTACAAAAGAGTTCAAGATTTCTTCACCTAAAGTTTTGATACTATGTTAAGAATGGTTTGACATGTATTTTATTGAATATTATAACCCTATATATATAGGTTTTTTAAGACAGAAAAGAAAATAGAAAATTAACTACAATTAATTATATAGGTTGTCATTTACCCTTAAACACTTTAATCTAATTGAACATCTTCAACATAAATAAGATTGGCCTTTTCTCCTGGGAGGCTGTTTGGAACAAAATTTTGCCACTGGACAACCTGATGTTTGCTGCTTTTTCTTTCACTCTTGTTCTTTCTTTAACTGGGGGAGTATTGGTTTATTATTCCTCTTAGTATTGACTTTAGGGATTATTTTTTTACTATTTTTTTCGTGAACCACCTAAGGTTCCAACTAAAAGAACAAATTTATCTTTCATCGTCTTAATTGAAGTAAACAACCTCCCAATGATTACTTCAACTAGTCCCTATGTTCTTCGGATAGGTCTCTTAGTTGCTGAAAGGGTTGCTCAAATGCAATATACAGGCGACTATGGTTGTTGTTTCCATTATTATATAATTTCAAGACCATAATGGATCTATGCTAAGATCTTTTATTTACACCAGATCTTTGGTGCAAGAAGAAGGGATTGATTCTTATCATCTTTACTTGGTTATGTTATTTTTTTAAGAAAAGAATACCACTTCTCTGACCTATATCGAATAGAAAATGTTGAACCAAATCTTCTTCATGTAAAACCAGCTTGAATTAGATTGGGAGAATTGCACAATTTTATGAAACCATATACCATAGGTCGAAGCCGTAGTCAATCCTATTTCTGCTGGGAGCAGTTGCCAATTAAATTCAAAATTTTCAATTCTTTTTATTTGATATCTGTGATTGTAGGAAAGGAAAGCTCGGCTCCAAGTTGTTCAAAAATAGTGGCTCTGAGTTTCTTGACCCTCTATCTTAGAATTCAGTTAGTTCTATTTGTTGATGGGAGAAGGGATATAACTCAAAGAGGTAGAGTGATGTTGGATAGGTGTTTCTTATGCTGACCTGAGTGTGAATCCCCTAGCCATCTTCTTCCGTGGTACGTAATCTAGAAAGCTTGGGACTTGGCTCTCAATCTCCTCATCTTGATTTGGGCTGTCAGTCCGTCTATCAAGGGGAAAATATAGGCTTGGAGTGGTACCCCGATAATGAAGCAGAAGAAGAATTCATTACCCTCAACCCCTTTTCATTTTCTGAGTCACTTGAAAGGAAAGGAATTGTGGAGCTCTTGATAACTCCTCTGTCCATTCTCTTCTATATTGGACCCTTTGTATTTTGTTTAAGCATCATTCTTTTCTAGATGAACTGGATATCTCAATATGTTTGATCTCTTCTGTCTTTGAGTCACATCTCTTTTATACATGGGTTGTAACCCCTCTAGCCTTTTTTATACTAATTTCTTCTCTAAAAAATATTGAATTCCTACCTTCTGTGACAACTATTGTCGAGATTCTATAATCGATCAGGATTGCTTCCCAGTTAATGTTCTCACATTACTTATATCCCTCTGATTTCCCTTTTCAACTTTTTATTCAGGGCGCTTGAGATAATGCCAAAGCATTCCCATTCCAATGGCCCCCTCCATTAGGTTGGAAATTACCTTTTCCAACCCAAATCCTCTGTGTAAGTATTCAATATTCTTGTGAGATTAATAATATCATAGTTTTTTTTTAAAAAAAGAACAAACAGCTAAAACCTGGTTTATGAAGGAACCAAAAGTAAAGATCCCTATAATTCAACTATCACTTTGAATACACAATCTTATCCAAAAAGACAGACTTACTTCTTTCCACTCTAGTAACCTCCTTTTGAGAATAGGAATTAACATTGACATACCAAAATAATATGTCAAGGAGAATGATATATTATATAGCTTAGTTTTGCATCCAAAAATCATCTTTTACCAAACTTATCCATAATTTCTTATATGAAAACCAACCTGCAATTGGAACTTGACAAAAAGGATCCACTACATTCATTTCTGGCTCATTTTCATCAGTAGCGGAGACCTACTATTTATTGGTTCAGAAATTAAGACTATCTAGACTTGATGGAGCAGTAACGTCTCCAACCTTGAGGTAATCTTGATTGATTGCCATGGCCTTGACTCTTGAATAGAAACATACTCCAAAATTAGGGCTATGATTGAAGCATTCAATTACATTTGCAATATGGTCGTTTCATTTCATTCATGTTAAAATATGTAAGGCTTGAAGGCAGGACATAACTGAAATTTTACCAAAGTACTCTTGTCCCTGACTCCAGTAAAATTCTGGGTGCATCATGTATTTACATTAAGGAACTTAGTTACCTCGGGAAATAGCTTGCTTAAGTGGCTAGCTTTGGAAACATGCCATTTTCAATATATATTTGCCATAATCCTGGAAAAATTCCAGCATAAAGTAATACAAAGGTGGAAAACACCAAATTCCTTGGAAAATTCCCAGCCAGAAACCATGAAAAATAATCTGAAGTTCGTGGCTTTCATAAATTATATACAATTGCATGATCTTGACATATTACACACCACTTGTGAAGTAATGTGTTTCCATCTCATGTTTGAAATTTCTAAACATCCAAGACAACAGGACAGGTAACTTAAGGACCCCATCAATCTAGGTAAGCACTCTATAGGCATAACTATCACATGATAAAATAAACATAAACAAATGATACTAGCATGCTCCAAATAATAACTATATCAGTTAAAATTTTATATCATTGAAAAAAAATTATGAAATAAACAAGACAGAAAACTTGTCGACATGCAACTACTGAATTTTTGCAACAGCTATAACACTTACTCAATCATACCGGCAGTCCTATTTGCATATGAATAAAAGAGATTATCAATCCGTTCCATGTCTTTTGATGATGCCTTACTCGCTGCTGAACAAGTGAAAGTGCAGAAGATCCAAATTATTAACATGATAGAAACTCAGTAACTTATGGTAAATCCAAAAAACAAAGCACCCATGAGTGCACAAAGAGCAGGAAACAAACATAAGAATTTAAGGAAAAACCTTAACAACCCATGCCAGAAAATTTTCCTTGTGATAAACATGAAGAAAAGTAGAGTCACGTATTCACTGGTAGTCAGTTGAAAATCACATTGAGTTCAGAATTAAAACATAAATGTCATCCAACGTCTACTTTTGCACTTCCACATAAAACCACAGCTCATATTACAAAATATATGTTCACCACACAGAAAGATAAACTTCTTTCATTTACCAAAAATAGACTAAGGAAAAGTAACAATGAGACGTCAATACTTATAAGTATCTTTCAACAGAGTGGTTTTCACCATGAGTTGTATTTAAAAAATATATCAAAATGAAAGAGAATGTCTCAGTTAACATACAACACTGGCAAGTGAATTTCAAGCCGAAATATCAAACACATGGACACCACCAATGGCATCCAAATGAAATGAGAGAGAGAGAGAGAGAGAGAGAGAGAGAGAGAGAGAGAGAGAGAGGGCGAAGAGAAATTCATTTGCACCTCAATTCTTTAAAATGTAAAAAGCACAAAATCATTCATCACAATTCGATCTTTTTTCTAAAAAAAGAGGGGGAACGAAGTAGAATTGCAAAATGATTAAACCAAAAAGAGAAAACAAAATCCCAAAACCAACAATTGACAAGAGAAAGATCCAACACCTGAGCGAAAGAGATCCGTGGCTGAAGCAGTGATCGGACTAGCAGAATTGGATTGACCCGATTTCCTCGATGCAGAACGACGCATCTTCAAAGCCAGAATTAGAGGAACAAACAGAGATATTGATCAACAAAAACAGAAATATTCATCAGGAAAGCGCAAGATTGAATTCAATAACTAAAAAGAACAAAGACCAAAAAGAGAGAGAAAAAGAGCAAAAAGAACACCTCGAGCGAACGAGCGAAGCTTCGTTGCTCGAAGAAGCTGATGCGTAGCGCCAAATTCCAGAGAGAAACTTTTGCAGGAGAGAGAATTATTTATTAGTACTACGATGTACTCTCCGGAGCAGACGGTAAAATGTAAAAACTGAAAGGAAAAAGAAAGAAAGAAAATAGCTGTTTATTATATTAGCTCTAAAAAAAAAAGAAAAAACAATAAAATAATATTTCCACTAAATAATTAAAAACATAAACAAATAATTAAGGAAACAAAAAAAAATAAATGAATGTGATAAAAAAAAATAAAAAAAAATAAAATAAATTAGCCGATTATATTTAAAATAAATAAGAAATTTTAAGAAATATATTTAAAAATTTATAAAATTTCATTTAAAATAATAAAAATTAAATCCAAAATGAAAATAAAAATTTATTATCCTAATTTCTCCTAAAATTTTGTCAACCAAGTTTACAATAAATAAAATACTTTATGAAATTTATTTACAAATATATAGAAAATATAATCAAGAACATAGTTGAATTTTATAAAATTAAAATTAAAATTAGTAAAATTTAAATTCTACTATTATGGTTTACATAAATTAAATTTTCAAAAGTTTTTAATAAAAATTTTATTTTTAAATTAATTTTTTTACGAATTTTTAAATAAATTCTTTTTTTTTTATAACTTGGTTCAAACATAGCCATAGTGCCGTATTAAAAAAATAAAAATATATATATATTAAAAAAAGAATTAAAACATTTCCTATAAAAATTGCTTCAAAATGGGCCATGGGCTCGGCCCATTTCCAAAAAAGAAATGGGTTTTACCCGATATTCTTTCATTTTCTCGTGAGATTTTCTTCCACTCTTGAAAACAGTTGACTACCCGGGTCACTCATCGGGCGTTCATCTAACGCTACGCCTTTACCTTAACCTGCTGCTTTCCCACGCGACGCGCCTGTCTGTGTGCTCTCCCGCATATATATATATATATATACGTAATATACCGCACAGCTTCTTTTTCTTTCCCTATACTATGCACACTTTGCTTTCCCTCTCCTTTTGAATCAAAATTCTTTCTTCTGTGTTCTTCTCGCTCGCCGGAAGGTATCTCTTGCTTCGCTCTGTGTTCTCTGTATTCATTCTAGGTTGCAGGTTTACATTTTCCACTCTAATTTTTTTACTGCTGGGATTCATTGTTCGGCAGTCTTAATGGCCACTTTTGGTGCGGCTGCTACTGCGAATACAAATCCTAATAAATCATTTGAGGTCAGTTACGACTGGGAAGTGGCTTTATTAGGTGTTTATTTTTCTTCATTGCTGGTTTATTGGGTTTCAGAGTTGCTTATTGCAAACTAGTTTTAGTATACTGCGATATTTTATGTGGAATTTTACCTATAAATCGACCTGGCAGAATTTGGATATTTGACTTCTCCTTGATTTTTTCAGTTATAACTTTCTATAGTTATGCATTATTCTTAGTTTTTTTTATTGATTTTGTTGACGAGGGTTAATGGTAAATACTTGATTGTAGGTTACTCCAGCTCCTGGTGATTCTANTTTAGCTGCCACCATTGCTCCTATGACGTGAAATCCTATTTAAACAAGTATAAAAACATAAATTATCGAGAAAAGACAGTTACAGTATGATTTTCTCTTCTTTCAAGAAATCAAAATAGGATATTTATTAGTTTTAGCAAGAGTTTAATCTATTCTTCTAATTTGTTCATTTTTGTTTTGTATCTCCTTTTTTTAGAAAATATCTGTTTTGTATCTTTAGTTTTCTTACTCTTTTGTTTCCAATAGATGGGTAGGATTAACCAGTAGTACACCTTGTTTGCAATAATTTTGCAGGTGAGGTGTTGGGAAATATCAAAAAATGGAACTGCTTTAGCAAGTGCTCCCAAAACATCAATGTCACATGATCAGCCGGTAATATGCTGCACTCTTTGGTATTTGGAGATATACCTCTTTGCTTATGAGTTTTGCATGCCAGTAACTAACTACTCACTTTGCTCTGTATATTGAAAAGGTATTATGCTCTACCTGGAAAGATGATGGCACAACTGTATTTACTGGAGGCTGCGATAAGCAAGTGAAGATGTGGCCTTTACTCTCGGGTGGTCAAGCTGTGACTATTGCAATGCACGACGCACCAATTAAAGAGATTGCTTGGATCCCAGAGATGAGCCTCCTAGTAACAGGAAGCTGGGACAAAACTTTAAGGTAACAGTTATTTCCTCCTCTTCAGAAATACAGATAATTTAGTCGATTGCATCTTTTATCTGCCAATATGTTTGCACTAAACTAGATGTATTGACCGCAAGTGCATTTTGAATGCTATTGTGGATTTTTAGGTTCAATCGTAGCATGTTGTGATGAGTCCACATTCTTTCTGGAAGCAACCTCACCTTCTTGTAAACTGGGTCAGTACATGAACATCAAGGAAAGTATAGTCATCTGATAGCAGAATACGATCTTCCTTGATGTCATGACACTATTGTTTCTGGCATGGAGGTTTAGCAGCTTATGTTGTGGGTGCTTTCTCTGTTCTGATATGATTAATTGTGTCTGTAACTGGTGGTTGTAAAGGGATTGGAAGGATACTGAAATATGGACTTTTAGCAACTGGTTTTAATACTTACATGACTAGGATATGCTTAATGGACTAAAACCTGCTTTTCTAAATGGGAAGTATTCATAAGTGTCATATATGGTTGGCCTTTTCTATGTTTTTGTTACTTCCCTGGCAGCCTTTCATCAAATTATTGTGAACCTTTTCAAAATTCATAACTACCCCCCTGATAGTCTCTGGTAATGTCTTAATGTTTTCATTTCTATGTACCAATATCACTCGTATCTTAATTGTTCTGTCATGTCTTTAAGTTTCGAGCTTCACCACAATCCCAATGCTTGTTCTGTATGGTAACTCCTACAACCTCGCATGTCATTTATTACTTGTTGTAATGTGATATCTTCAAAATTAACTTCTGACCTCCTTGTTCTGATAGTCGACAAGTATTCTTACTGGTTTGCTACTGATATTTAGATATTGGGACACCAGACAGCCTAATCCAGTTCATACTCAACAACTTCCTGAACGCTGCTATGCACTGACAGTAAAACATCCTCTGATGGTTGTTGGCACTGCAGATAGAAATTTGATAGTCTTTAACTTGCAGAGCCCACAGGTAAGTAATTCTTCCTTTCTATTTCTTTGTTTTTTCAATTAAAAAGATTCTATGTAAGGACCAAGTTATTAATATTGTTATAATGAGGAGAGAGATGATTGAATGCAGTCTTGGTTGTTGATTATAGACTTCGACCGGTGGCCAAATTCGACCATATTTGATTTTGTAGCTAGGAAATTTTTGTCCATCTATTATTCACTGACATGAGAATCTAAATCTTCTTGTCATTCGTTTCTCTAACTAGAGTATTCTACTTTCATTGAAGAGACTAGAATGCTCAAATTGTTTTTAAGGGCTTTAATCATGGGGCATTAATGTAGATTCACTAGTCATGTCGTCTTTCATCAGAGTTTCGGCAGAAATTTTGTTTGAAAGAGATAAAATGCATCAAGGGCTGTGTGGGTTGACAGGTTGGCAGGGGTAATGGGGCTAGGTTTTGGTAAGATGAATGGATGGGGAATTTCAGATTAAAGGACAGATTCAAAAGAATTTTTGACATTGCTTGCAACAAGGATGCAAAGGTGGAGGAGATGTATGAGATGTGGGGGAGGGAAGGTTGTGGATGTGAAGTGAAGAGAAGTCTGCACGACTAGGAAATGATGAGTATAGCAGCCTGTTATCGTCCTGAATGACATGAATTGAACAATGAAAATGATAAAAGACTTTGGAAGCTGGATGAGAAGAAAGGTTTCTCGGTGAAATCTTTGTATAGCTTTCTAACTAAGAATGATAACAGTCGTAGCAAGTCAGCTCGTTATAAGCAAATATGGAAATCTAAAACCCCTCCTAGAATTGCTTTTTTTGCATGGGAAGCAACTAATGAATGCATTTTGACTTTGGACATGCTAAAAAGGAAGGGAAATGTGCTTGTTAATAGATGCTACTAATGTCATGTTGCTGAGGAATTGTGCAATCATTTATTATTATCTTGCCCAGTGACATACAACATATGGACCTCTGTTTTTGGGCTATTAGAGTTAAATTGGGTTATGGTTGGTCGTGTGAGAAATGAGCTGCGGGCATGGGTGGCTTTTGTAAAAAGAAAATCATTTTTTCCTTATTCCACTTATTATATTTTGGGTGTGGAAGGAAAAATGAGAGAGTTTTTGAGGGTATAGGGACTAACTTTACAAAAATTAGGGATAGATGAATTCATACTTTTGGCTTTATTTTGTTAAATCATGACATCAAAGACTTGGTTGACTTTGCTGTTGTCATAGACTACTTGATTGACATGTAATTAGTTTGTATTTGGGTGGTACCCCCTCGGTACCTTGTGCATAATAATACTTTCATTTAATTTAAAAAAGAAAAAAGAAAGAGATAAAAAGCACTTGAATGACTATAATACCTTAAGGGCAACAACTTTTGTTAGAGTGGTTAGATGCATTAACTTGCTTTTTCTGGTGGTGGAGTTGGGGTTAATAATAAAATCCTGCTTGTGATGTGGTTTGCCAACATAATGGAAGTTGAGCGGGTTTTCTCGTTCTTTTTTTTTTTTTTTTCATTTCTGAATCTTAGTGGTTCCATAATCAAATAAACATAATTATAAGGATATGTAAACTGTTAATTGCAGCAGAATCATTAGAAGTCTTCATTATGGGATATGTTAAACTTTTTCTAACCAAGTTTCAAACACTGTACTAAAATGTAATTTCCGCAGATAATCTTTTGAAGAAACCTTGGTGATATTTTTTTCCTGATTTCAGGCTGAAGTTCCTTAAGCTTACTTTATTTTGTCTAAAGCCATGATGAAATTTTGATTTATTCGGTAATAAATATTTAGTAAGAAATTATGCTACTTATTTTAATAAATTTATTTTCTAAAAGCATGCTTAAATTTTAGCACCAAAGCACTTTTCTCTCATTACTGTTGTCTGACCAATTTAAAGTTGGTACTGAGGTTTAAAAAATCTAATGCAAAGATATTGATCCATAAGTCGTACATCCTATTGTTTTCCAGTTTTCCTGTTTAAATGCTGTAGATTGTTAAAATTTACTCCCTTGTTTGAAATCTTTAGTTCTTGCCATTGATAGAAGTGCATTTGGAGCATGTTTATGATAATAATAAATTGGTTGAGCTTACCATGTTATATATACGGTTTTGGAGGTGTTTGGTCTTACTATACCTGAATACTGACCATTTTACTTGATGCACTTAGCTCTATATTATTTTCTTTAATTTACATCTCAAGCCCTTTCTAAAGGTTTTTTGGTTGAACGTTAACAGACTGAGTTCAAGAGAATTGCTTCACCCGTGAAATATCAAACAAGGTGTCTTGCAGCCTTTCCTGATCAACAAGGTTTTTTGGTATGAGTTATTTTTCTTTTCCTCTTTTTAAATTTTTTCTTCACTGTGGGAGATTTCTTACTCTTTCATAATATTGTGATGTGATGTGATACAACAAGAGGTTGAACCTACAACTATAGGTAAATTAAATGAGAGCAAGAGACTGAGATATATCAGCAATAACCAATTCAGAATTCTTAGATTTATCGAATTAGTGTTATAGAAGTCTGAACCTGAAGCTATGCTTGTGGCATCTTTTACAGAGACACCAACCATAAAAGAAAACAGGAATATAGAGTTCCTAATAAAATAGGGATTTTTAATAGGAAATTAAGCTGAACAGAAGCTACTAGACTAGATGAGAAACTAAATAACTTTCCTAAGGATTTGTTAACCTCAAAACTAGTTTATGTTGTAAATAAGCTAAATATTCCCAATACATAATAGATCATGTACATACTTATTTTATTAACTTCCAATTCTCCACCTTTTGAATGGTCTGTTTGGTTGTGTATGTTTTCACTATGGTTAAGCCTCCAGCAATTAATAGTATCTGCAGTTGTTTTATAATTTGAATAACAATATACAAATTATAAAAATTTGAAATCAGAGAACCAGGCATTTAAGGTTCCCTAGAGAGTCTGTAAGATTTAGAGAATTTTTAGGCAGAAAAGCATGTTCTCTCAGTGGAGAATTCCCATTATATATATATATAAGTAAAATATAATTTGATTTTTAGCCCTAAACTTAGCTAAAATATAATATAAAGATTTGATCTACAGCTAGTATATCCTAAATTAAGAAAGAATAAAAGATTTTCAAAGATATGAGATACTTGTCAAAGCTGGACAAAGCATAAAATCTGCTGAATTAAGTGTGAAGTCAATGACTTTAATTGTGAAATCTATTACTTTAATTGCGAAATCTGCTGATTTAAGTGTAAAATCTGCTAATTTTAATTATGAAATCTGCTGACTTTAAGTTGTCAGCTAACTACCTTTGACAGTCATCGTTAACCTGTATGTTAATATGCATCATATACTTATTGCATTCAATTATAAATTCTTTTTACTGAATTCTTACAGAATGTGTAGATTCTATGGTATCTACAGATTTATCTGTATGTTTCCTTATGAGTATGGCTCTTTCTACTGTAGTTTGTTCATTATTGGGGGAGTACGTTTGCGATATTTGAAGTTTATTGGATCATGGCTTGGGTCTCATTTCCCTTTTGGCAATTTGGGTTTTCATAGTGTATAAAGCAATTGGTAAACGAGTGGTTTAGGCAGTGTGTTGGGCAGATTTAGGTACTGAAAAGTTTGATATGAATGGATTAGCATATCCAGGAAAAATAAAATAAAATAAGAAGGTGATGACCAGATATGTAAGCTAAGATGTCATTTCTCTTTATTCCAAGTTGGGGTTGATTTTGAACTTTGTCTTCTCTCTCTAAAATTCTCTCTCTATCTCACTGAATCCCAACCTCTGCTCTCACTGAAACTCTATATTTCCTCTCTTCCTCTGTATCCCAGCACAAAACCTAGCCCCCGAGATCCCTTCTACGGCTAGGTTGGCCACAATGGCCAACCGGACTAAGCAACCTGGACCCACAACATGACCTCTTCCCATTCAAAAAGGTTTGTCCTTACTGGAAATAAATCTTTCAACATTGCTTGTGATGGGAAAAAGCTCAATGGTATCAGAATCAGTGAAAATGGTCGCGACATTAGAGTAACTATTAAAATGAGCAAAGAGGAAGTTTCTTGGATTGTGAATGCATTGAGTGATTTTTACTGGAACAAAGACGGACGAACATGTGGGAGAAATTTCAAAGGCCGATTCCATGATCTTTTGTTGGCTCTTGGCTGGAACCGAATGGGTCGATTCCTTGCCCTCTCAGAGCTGAAGGATAACCATGAGAAAAGGATCGTCATCCCAGATGGGTATGGAGCTAGTGGGTGGTGGCGCATCATGAGATCCATATTCGAACTTGCTGAGGTCCCTATGGTTAACCCCTTCAAAAAAAGTGATTCTGCGGTGACTAACTGAAGTTTGACTACCTCATCTGTGCCTTCATTATCTCGGAAACCTGTCACAGTTATCTTCTGCTGCGCAAAGTGCAATCACAACCCTCATTTTCCCCTCTTAACAACAGAGACTTCTTATGCGGCAGTTCTTGCTTCAAAAACTGAAAACCCTATTCGGGTGAAGAAGAATCGACCTGGCCTGACCCCCAACGACCCGAAATTTGAAATTCAAAATTTTTCATCTATTGGGGGAAAGACGGCAAGGGAGCAAGTGACCTGACCTGATTGATGGTCCAAAAACACTCCATAAGCGAGAGACTACAATGCATAACAAAAGGCCCAAATACACCTGGGCTAAAAAAGAAAAATGGACAAATCAAGCCGGGCCAAGTAAAGTTATAAATAAATTGTCCAACCCGATGGCGTTCACTAAGATGGTCCAGCTGATCTAGAGGAAAAAGAAAAAGCAATCAAGTCCCACTTAAAGAAAATTCTCAATCGAATCAAAAGAACCTGAGTCGAATTCGTGCCCTAACTTGGGTCCCAACTCTGCTGAAGTCGAACTTAACAACATGGCTGCTTCAGCTTTATGCTCCAACACTTGGACTTCTTCTCCCTTATCTAACAATGTCTCGATTTTGGAAGAAGAATAGAGATCAATCATGGGAGCTGAGATGGTTGTTCCTAGTCTTGACAAGGAGCACATATTGGATAATGATTCGCAGCTTAAAAATGAAACATCCTTACCAGATATATTATGGGCTTTAGACACGCTTATTAGAGACTCCAAGGTCTGACTCAAAACTCTTCTCTGATTGGTTTTTTAACAATATCTATTGCATCAGCCAGCATCTCGGTGCTTCCTTTCCTTCTCAAGTAATAGACGCAAGGGAATTCTTTGTCGAGCGTGCAAGTGAAGCGGGAAATGTCAATATTGAACCACTATTATTGGAGCACAGTAAAAAGAAGGGAACTCAAGATTTCAATCTTCCGTTAATTACTATGGGAGAAACAAGAGGAACAAAGAAGGCGGGGCTGAAATTCAAAATACTAAATGATTGATAAAATTTTTTCTTGGAATGTACGGGACATAAACGACCAAAGGAAAAGAACAATCATTAAGGGCTGCCTTCACGAATAGAAATCCTCAATGATTTGTCTTTTAGAAACCAAAATGAATACGATAAATGAGAAAATTATCGGCAGCTTCTGGAGGATGGAGGATGTTGGTTGAAATTTTCTTCCAGCCAAAGGTTTTGCTGGCGGCATTCTGATTATGTGGAAGAAGGATTGTGTGATTTGCAACGATGTAATTCTGAGTGAGACCACTCTATCTTTTCTCTTCTCTAATTTACCTAATGGAGACCATTGGTATTTTTCTGGAGTTTATTGTAGAGGCAACAGTGAGGAACGCAACATGTTGGGAACTGAACTTGCACATATTAAGAATTCTTGGGGGTGACAGGGGAATTGTGGGGGGTGACTTCAACTTGATTCTGAAATGTTCTGAAAGATTAAGTGGTCACACAACTCCTAAGGATATTGAGGAATTCAACTCACTCCTTGACTGTTTGGATCTCAATGATCTTCCCTTACTAGGGGAGAGGGGGAGAATGGACATAGAGCAACTTAAGGGAGCATTCTTCTTCTTCTAGAATTGACAGGTTCCTCATCACTACCAATTTTCTTGCTGTTCTCCCTAACCTAAACCAGAAAATTCTCTCCATCACTTCCCCATTCTTTTGTCGTCGGATGGGATTCAACGGGGCCCCATCCCCTTCAGGATTGATAATAAATGGCTGGTGCTGGACAATTCCAGGAAATTGGTTGCAGATACATGGTGTAAGTTGACTATAAAGGGTACAATTAGCTACATAATTGCTACAAAACTTAAGCTCCTCAAAGCCGAAATCAAAAGCTGGGCTGATGAAACTGGCAGAAAAGAAGAAGATGGCATCAATGATATTCTGGTGGAAATTGAGGATTTAGATAGAAAAGAGGAAAGCATGCTGCCATTTGCTGATGACAGAGAAAAAAGAAAGAACCTGAAATTATTGCTGTCCAACAAACTCCATATGGAGGCTATATCATGGAAACAGAGAAAAATGGATTAAAAGATGGTGACAGAAATTCAAAGTATTTCCATATGCTTGCAAACCACAGACGATGTATCAACTATGTGGAAAAACTCACCATTGGGAATAACATAATCAAAGGAAATGAGGCTCTCAGGGAAAGTGCAAAAAACTATTTTCAGAACCTATACTCTGAACAGCATGAACACAGACTACAACCGGATAATTTGTCTTTTAACTGCAACTCTGAAAGGGACAGAGAATATCTTGAGGATAATTTCACTGAAAATGAAATTCTGGACTGTTTTCGTGAATGTGATGGTGATAAGACTCCCAGTCTGGACGGTTTCAACTTCAAGTTCCTTCAAACTTTCTGGAACGTAATCAAAAGTGATGTCACTGAATTCTTCAATGATTTTCACATTTCTGGTTATGATTCCAAAAAGATCTAACCTGAGAATATTAATGACTTTTGACCAATTAGCCTTGTTGGGTGTATATACAAACTTCTGTCAAAAGTCCTTGCTAAACGACTCGGTAAAATTCTTGGTAAAATCATTAGTGATTGTTAGCCTGTTTTTGTTCCCGGGTGACAGATTTCAGATGCTATTTTGATTGCTAATGAGATTGTTGGTGATGTTACTAGAAGTAACAAAAAAGATATTATGTGTAAACTTGACATGGAAAAAGCTTTTGATCATGTTCACTGGGATTTTATTGAATACATGCTTAGAATAATGGGGTTTGGCCAGAAATGGAGAAGCTGGATCAGATTTTGTATCACTACCTCCGCCTTTGCAGTAATGGTTAATGGAGGACCTTCAACATTTTTCTCCGCTTCAAGAGCGTTAAGGCTTGGCGATCCACTCTCTCCACTCCTTTTTATCATTGTTATGGAGGCTTTACATAAACTAATTGCGCAAGCAAAGAATATGCATATGTTAAAGGGTATTAATGTTGGCAAGCGAAATAGAACGATTGAAATCTCTCATTTATTTTTTGCCGACGACACCCTTATTTTCTGCCAGCCGGAGACTCATTCTCTTATTCTCTTGAAATGCATTCTAGCTTGTTTTCAGACAGTCTCTGGACTAAAAATCAACTTACACAAATTTGAACTTGTTATTTTGGGTGCTGGTGATGATGATATGGGCTACCTTAATGCTACACTAAACTGCAGAAGCTCAAATCTGCCTATTAATTACCTTGGTGTGCCGCTGGGTGCTAAACATAATGACAGCAAGAAATGGGATCCGGTTATTGATATGGTGCAAAACAGATTAGCAACATGGAAAAAGAAATTTTTATCGAAGGGAGGAAGACTTACTCTTGTCAAGAGCACACTCTCCAACTTGCCTATTTATTATCTTTCGGTGCTCAATTTACTAACTAAGATTGCGAAAAAATTATAAACAATTCAGTGTAACTTCTTATGGGGTGATGTGGACAATGAAAAGAAAAAATATCATCTCGTTTGGAAAGAAGTCAAAAAACCAGTGTGGGATGGCAGTCTGGGATTGAGAACTCTCGTCAAATTGAACAAAGCCCTCCTTGGGAAATGGATCTGGAGGTATTGGAATGAACCAAAAAGTTTATGGAAAAAAGTTAGACTGTAAATGGTTTGTTGACAATCAAAAGAGCCTATCACACATCAAAAAATATAAATATGGCACAAGCCTCTGGAGGAACATCATGAATATCAGCCAAGCTCTTCTAAACTGTACTGACTGGATCATTGGTAATGGTAACAAAGTTCAATTTTGGAATGACATTTGGTGCGGATCACTTTCTCTTAAGGACAAGTTTCCACAAATTTATGTCATCTGTAGCTTCAAAAATGGTTTTGTGAAAGATATAGTCTCTCCTGGCAGCCTTCACAGCTGGAATTTCACTGTTATGAGGAATTTACATGATTGGGAAATTGAAGAATATGAAAACCTGCTTCACACACTGTTCCACATCCACTTAAAACATCATGATGATAGGCTGTGCTGGAAATACGAGAGCAATGGCTATTTTACTGTCAGCTCATTTTATGATTTTCTGGATGACTGGATAAATTGCAACCAAAGGAAGTTCCCTGCCAAAATCATCTGGAGATCGGGTGCCCCACCCACGATATCTTTTTTCTCTTGGGAAGCTACAAAGGAAAAAATTTTAACTTTGGATAATCTAATGAAAAGAGGAATACCCATTGCAAACAGATGTTACCTTTGTAAAATGGGTCCGGAATCTTGCAGCCACCTTCTTCTATGGTGCCCGATCTCTCATAAACTTTGGGCAATGGTCCTCAGCTTTTTGGGGTTATCCTGGGTCACGGCTAACACTATCTATGGTGAATTACTTGTTTGGGACGACCTCGATAAAAGAAATAAGTTTTTCCAGCTCATTCCTCTTACTATATTTTGGGTCATTTGCAAGGAAAGAAACAAGTGTGTTTTTGATGGTATTGAACTATAGTTCAATACCTTAAAAGACAATTGGTTCTACTATTTTGGTGCTATTATATTAGGCCACGATATTGATAATAACGTAGGCTTTGCTTCTATTATAAATATACTTATTGATGTGTAATTTTTGTACATGGGTGGTGCCTCCTTGGTACCTGTCATTAATACATTTCTGTACTTTTCTTTAAAAAAAAAAAAAACTTTCTTTATTTCAAAGTGGATGCTAAATGCATGTATAAGCACTGAAGGAAATAGGAGATAAGATGTACTGTAATAACATTATGTAAGCCATCTATAAAAGGTTGATTCCCAGAACAAATCAGAGCTAAGTATTTCTCAATTCACGATTTGTTTAAATTAGTACATTTTTTGCACTAATTAGTTTCATCATCACTAATCTGTTACTCTATCTGGTGATATATGTATGCTTCCTTTTCACGCTAGTGTCTCTTTTTACTTGTTATCCTCGTCATGTTTTACTTATGCTAACTCTGTTCTTATAGATGCCCTTTGCTTTAGGGCTTTAGTTCTTGTTGGTAAAGCTTTATCATTCAAACCATGGTGGATGGATATGTTGAATCTGGTATTATGATGACACTAGGTTGGATCAATCGAAGGGAGAGTTGGTGTACATCACCTGGATGATTCACAACAGACCAAGAACTTCACTTTCAAATGCCATAGAGATGGAAATGAGATATATTCTGTTAACTCTTTGAACTTCCACCCGGTAAGTCTGCTTTGGTAGTACCAAGTTCTTACGTACTTTTGTGATTACTCATTTATTTGTGTTTTAGCTTAGCTGTGTAATAGCTTTATCTTCCACCTGGTAGTTTTTCATTTTAACGGGTTTAAATAGTTATTGTATGGTGAGTTGAATTTGTGTTTTTCATGTGGTGAAAGCATAATTTAGATATTAATACAAAGTTGTTTACTGCTGCTGATAATTAGTGCTATACAAACATGCACATCCTACTATTAGTATTTATTTACTCAAATCCTATATAATTTATAAGATTGTTTATCGACTGTGGTGCTTATCTGTCTGTGTGTTTCCTCTTTAACCATGATTATTTTCTGTCAATTTGCTGTATTGCTTTCTGGATGGTCAAAAACAGAATATTCAAAGAACTTTTCCATCCAAGATAGTATGGAAATTTGGTGCTCCTCCAAGGATATCATTCTTTGCTTGGAAAGCTGCAAAGGAGAAGATACTCACACTTGATAATTTGTTGAAAAGAGGCCACACAATTGTTTATAGATGTTTCCTTTGTAAGGAAGTCTTGGAAACTTGTAATCACATCCTTTTGAAATGCCTCTGGAACATGATCCTAGGGCTGCTGGGGATCTCTTGTGTAATGTCTGAAAATGTTAACTCGGAATTGATGGCTTGGTAGGGCCTAGGCAGCAGTAATAAATTCACCAGACTTATTCTTCTTATTATATTTTGGGTCATCTGGAAGGAAAGAAACTAAAGAATTTAATAGAGGAAGTAATGTTTCTGCGTATCATTTCCATTCACCAAAGGTGTCTATATATACAGCGTAAATTCTAACGAACTCCTAACAGAATTATGGGGATGAGGAAAAATCAAAATTGGTTATTCTCCACCAACTTTGTGATTGCCTCTGTTTACAGGAGAAAATAGAATATGTATAGCTAATATACTTATTTTAAACAAAATGAAAATAGCTGGAAAAATAAACCTAACTAATTTGGAATTTATTTCCTCATTTTCTACACTAACCCTCAATCTAGTTTAC